GTTCCGCAATTACTTCTAGGATGTATACATTATGTAGGTCTACAGTTACATGTCTCGTATGCGGTGGTCAGTCATCCAGCACGTTGGTTATCCAACAGCTCATTGACGGCTCATACACTGTATATCTACAGTCCTACTTCAAGGAAATGTGGGCAGTGAGCATAATGAACGTTGCCTTTATACAACGTTACATACTTCACACAAGTCAGTCTATAGATCGGATCCCAACGAATGTCTCTGGGCTCTACTGGTAATAGCATGTCAAACACACAGGTAAAATCATGCTCTACAGTCCTTTTGATGTGTGAACATAAGAGAGAAGGCTATAGCGTTGTGTAGCTTCAGTTATCCAGAATATGCATTTATCCAACGAGGTCCGGACCCGGGGGAGGAAGGGGGGTTGCCTGGAAACTGACATGCAGCTGTACTAGTATTGTAGAGTTGCTGGAACTCCCTGTCATAACATGTACATTGTTTAACCTGTTTATACCACACTCACTATGCGCTTTTAAAATAATACATTAGAAGCGGTGAGGCCTCCTGCAGTTTCATACAGAATTACAGATGAAGCGGACTCGCTCCCTTCTATTTACACTGCAACGTTCGAACACATTTTCGTAGTTAAAACAACGTTTCGGCATATAGCCCTCATCAGGTTTGCAATGATGTGCACTCTACAAAGGAGCAGCAAATATACTGTGCCGTGCTGTGTTTGCGCTAAATGTGTCAGCTACAAAGGTGGCGAAAGGGATTGGTGATATATTAATATCCAGATACGATATATTCACAGTAGTGCCCAGCCAGCATTAGTGTTTACTTGCGGCCGCAAGTTGCGGATTTCAACAGCTTCTCGCAGTTTTCTGCTTGCTCTGTCGCCTGCCCTTGCCAGGACTGACACAGCCGAGAACACACTATCCGCAGCAGCTATACTCTCGCCAGAATGTTTGTCGCGCACGTGGTCACCCCATGGCTTATCGAGAGTGCGACGGCGTGCCTCGCCATTGTGCTCCCGAATTCTTGTTTCCAAGGAGCGTTCCGTCTCCCCTACATACGTTTCCCGGCACCATTTGCATTGCAATTCGTAGACTACATTCTTTGTCATACATACTCGTTCGCCTCCAGACTGACAGGTAATGCAAGGCCCTAGTGGACGTCCTCTTCGTCTTTTTTCAGTAATGTTGGGCTCGTTTACGCACTTGGGTGGTAACAGCGCCGAACGGCACAGTTGACGCCTGAGGCTGCCCGAGTGCTCGTATACGACACGTACCGGCAACTTGTATTTCCGTATTGCTTTGTTCACATGGTGGTGTACTTCATCGGACTTGAACGGTAGTTTAAGGAAGGCAGAGCGGGGATTACCGCGTCGTCTACGCCGAGGTTTCCTGGCAGCTTCCCTTGCTTCCGATATGATACTGTCTGGGTAGTTATTTATGCGCAGTTGTTTGTGTATTTTTTGTTCGCTCTCAGCTTGCATCATGGGGTTAGACGATAGTCGCTGTGCCCTTAGGAATTGAGATTGAGCGACGGCTAACTTGATGTGGTGAGGAACTGCCGATGAATAATCCACCAGTAGGCCACTACTGCATGCCTTCTGGAACAATTTGAATGACAGCTCTCCGGTTTGCCCAACCGCGATCGTTACGTCCATGTAGTCTATGCAGCCACTGTCACAACTTAATTCATGCGTGAATTTGATACGTTCGTGGCTGGCGTTGAATCTTTCTATGAGCTCCAGAAGGCGCTGCCTACCATGTGTCCATAGGATGATGATATCGTCGATGTATCGTCTGAACAGAATAGGTTGGAAGGGTGAGTCCTGAAGAAGTCGTGTCTCAATGGTGTGCATAAACAGGATGGCAAATGGAGGTGCCAGGTTGTTCCCCATAGCAACCCCATCTAGCTGGTGGTAGATCTGTCTGCCAAATCTGAAGTAGTTATGACTCAGAACAAACTTCAGTAGTGTCCTGACTTGGGTCACGCTCAGCCCGAGCATATCAACTCTGTTATGGTGTTGCTCTAGCACGTCACTAACGGCATTCACGCCCTCTTCGATCGGTATGCTGGGATACAAACCCACCACATCCATCGTAGCCAGAATCGTTCCAGCAGGTGCTTTAACCTTAATCAGGCCAATGTTCCCAAAAGGGAACATTTCTTTCCGCATGCGATTTGGTCAAGGGAAATTCATTTTTCCTCCGCATTTTCTGTTTATATGCATATCTAGAAGGCTGATGATCATGAATCTTGGAATATTTGTCAGGCTTTTGAATTTTTCAAGTATCGGTATATAACGCGAAATGTCGTGAATTTTCGGTATTCGACCGTACTTCAGAAATTGAGAATTCTGGTGTGAAAAACAGTCTTTCTCAGAGTAATCCACACGTAAGAAGTGCACTCTGCTAGTATGGCCAGCCAACTGGCCTGAAGATTCACCGGAAATTTGATCATGGCACATAGAAACCCGCCGTCTTTCTTCTATGTTCCCAAAAGGGAACGTTGGCCAGATCAGAGGCCCAGATATACCTCATTTTCACCTGATTTCAGGAACCAGTATATCTAGCGCATATCCTTGTTTGTAACATTCGTAAACGTGGATATATAACTGATGGAGCCTTTTTGATGTTTTGATGGTGATTGGACCATCTCCATGGTAACCAAATTTGGTCATATATTTGTGATTCACTAGCATGCTGAATACAGCAATGCTGTGCGAGGCTGACATTTGCCAAAGTAAAGATTGGTAAACAGTCTCCAAAGGAATATACTTCTGAAGTATGTTTTCTTTTGTGTAACAAGATTCACTTGAACACTATTCAGCAAAGTATGGATGCTTTATGGCGTTCTCCTGGACTTTCGATGATCTTTTCCTCCGCGCGGTTGCATTTTTGTCAGAAAATATCGCTTTAGCTGTAATGTGGTAAGGCAGAGGGAAAGGTTTACAGTAGCAGAGTCCTTTCTGGAAAGGGACTCAAAAGTGATTCCAATGAAAGCTAAGGACATTGTTGAGAACTCCAACACACTTCAAGACTTATTCCTAGCGCCACCGATTACTGGCAATCTGAACGTAAGCGCTATAGGAGTAAGGCATCCTGCAGCTCAGGAACTCGAAACAAAGTGGTGAGCACACTTGCTCCTTCTCTGAGCACTGCAAATTCACAACTGCATGGTGCTAATGATTCCGTGATTCTGATGCAGTGAATTTGCTGTGCCCAGGGAAAGAGCATGTGTGCTCACCACTTCTCGTTGATCTGAACGTGGACGATGAAATAGAGTAGTAATCAGATGATTCAACGGATGATAAAGGTTTCATCGAACTTGCAAGAGATATGGACCTAGACGACTACCAGTTGACGAATGGAGAGGATAATGATGTTGGTGCCTTTCCTGTTGATAGTGAGTACGACCGCAAAAAAAACGCCAACCCGCTGGAGCAACGCGTTAGGTGAAATAGACTGGTGTTTACGATAGGGGTCCTGAAATTGAACTGGACAAATCCCTTCAGGAACACCATGAGATCACTACAGCATCACCCACTTGCCAATCGCGAGATATACACACCCTGTACATCTCTAAACATTATTTGACGAGTAAATACTGCGCGATACCCGCGATACGGACAAGGCCAACATTAGCTCGGAGACCGACAATCTTGAGATATTCCTTGTAATTCTTTTTGTCTGGCTCCACATTCTTACAACTGATCTGAGAGTGCCAATTTTTTAAGCAGCGGTGAGCCCCAAGCCAATGTCCTACATCCAGGCTCATCCCGAGATCGCCGTCCTATTTTACTATAGCCGACCCCGCCCAGAAGCACCAGTGTCTTGCTGTTGATGTGCAATACCAGCGCGTTTGACAACAACAATGTGGACAACACAATGTTGTTGTAAATGGTGCAGACAAACCATGATATGTTACTGTTCTAAGTGTGGAGTTCGACTGCATTTCGATCGAGGATCGAATGCCACGGTGTATACGAGACGCGAACGGTAGCAGCCGAAAACACTAAGAAACATTGCTGGACACTCTTTGACGACTATTACATATTTTTTTCTTCTCCATTACTGCTTGTTCATGTTTGCATTGCTCCACAAACACTTAGAAGACAACATAATCCATTATATCATATTGCATCTTCCCTTCATAAAAACCATGGTCATTTTGGTACGCGATCCGGCCAACGTTCCCTTTTGGGAACATATAAATATTTCCATAACGCATGGACATATTCAGTTCAAACTTATAAACATGCTTAATTGGTCCAATACAAGCCGAAACAAAAGAAAAAAACTGCAAGAATACGCTGAATTCTTGTGACGGCCAAATTAAGGTTAAGGACAGGGTATATGGTGCGGATATTGTCTAGCGCGTCTTTGGTGTTGATGAGGTGCGATGGGACAAATGCAAGCAGTTGATGCAATATGCGTTCGAGAACCACCGAAATTCCTGTGACTGGACTGTCACAAGCAGAGACAACAGGTCGGAGGGGCAAATTTTGCTTATGGTCCTTTGGAAGACCGTATAGTTCCGGGAATCGTGTGTCATGAGGGAGTATTGCAGTCAGAAGATCAGGATCCATATTCGTGCATTGCTCTTCCAGTATGGATTTAACCTCTTTCTCATACGCAGTGATAGTTAGATCCACTTTTCTGTACATAGTGCTGTCAGACAGAAGTGCCTCTGCCTTCTCCAGGTAGAGTTCCTGTTTCATAGCTACTAGCTTCTTGCTCTTGTCGGATTGCTTTATCACTACACTGGGGTCATGACGAAGTTCTCTCAGTCCGTCGCGTTCCTCTTGCGTCATATTATGCTTGGGAGGTCTTTGTTTGCCATATGCTGCCAAAACTTCGTCCTTGAAGTTGGCCATCTTTCTTTCCTCATCCTGGCTCATTCTGGGCGGTTGCTTGAAGCCATGCTTCTTTAGCTTCCACAGCCTGTGATCACACTCGGTACCGGTATCGTGGTCGTCCTCTGGCTGGTCCACACCCTGAGGCCGCGCCTGCTGCCATCTCAAAGTGTAGGCCATCCGTTCTCATTGCAAACCTGATGAGGGCTATATGCCGAAACGTTGTTTTAACTACGAAAATGTGTTCGAACGTTGCAGTGTAAATAGAAGGGAGCGAGTCCGCTTCATCTGTAATTCAAAATAATACATGCTGTAGTTAGAGGTGCGCTTTCTTCTTCTTTTTCACGTCAACACCGTCACGTTTGTGTGTCTGTTTTGTTTACTCTCTGTGTGTAGATTCCATGGCTGCCTGGGTTCCCTATCTCTACACGTTGGTAAGCCGGTCAACTCTAGCACCGTAACAGCATAATGCCTGTGTGCATGTGGCATGGGCACACTGGTCTAGATGTGCCTGTGTGCATGTGGCATGAGCACACTTGTCTATTATGCGCCTGTGTGTTTGTTTGGCAAGACACACAGGAAGATTTTCAAATGAGCCCATCGTGGCAGCTTGAAATAAACTGTCAGACATTCGGGCGTGTGCGTGTGAGGCCATAAAGAAACTTCCACCAAGTACTAGCCAGACAGGTCCATTGAACAATGCAGTCATTGCTGTCTGGTGCCGGGCCCTTAGATGTGGGCAGCTGAGAGTATCACCTGAGTAGGTTTGAATACTCTTTTTACTGTAAGAGTTGAAAGTTTGACGCGTCTAATTTGCAAAACATTCTCACTTGGCGGGCACAACGTTTTATCGACCCTGCCATCACACACCTGCCTTCTGCTTCTCTAGTACAGAGGAGAGAAGGAATAACATAAACGTAACGTTTCTCAGGGTTCTAGCTAGGTACAATAATGGGGGGGGGGGGGGGGGGAACAGTTACCAGTAACCCATTTTTTTCCATTTCCAACATTGTCTTGCCACACAAAATGCAACGTATGGGGGCTTTGCCCCCGTACCCCCGACAATCATGTCTTTATGATCGGTGACTGCATGCACTTTCGTAATAATTTTATGGTCTAAAGAAAAAAACCCACAAAATCGGAAAATGATTACTTGTAGGGGGCGTGCAAACAGAGCGGGGGGGGGGGGGGGGGGGGGGGGGGGTGGCTGCGCCCCGTACCCTCCCCCTTTGGCTAGATCCCTGGTTTCTTGAGTTAGCGATGGATTTTTTCTTGTTTTAAAACGTTAGACTTTGTGCCCCGTTAGAGATTCAACCCTTGCGGTATGTGTGTATATGTGCCGTATGTGTATATGTTCCATACTTGCGACAAACACCGGTACGGACGGTTCACATGCCACTGTTAAAGTGTATCGGACCGGTGCCAGGGCACAAATTTAACTTTCCTTGCTCTGACCACCACTGTTCTATTGTACAGTCAACTGTGCGTACAGCGACACTCGACGGGGCATCAGAAAAGTGTCGTTATTCGCGAAGTGGCCTTGTACCTGAAGTCTCATTATAATGCATTACAGTTAGACGGGACTTTGCTCTGGGCATGGAAATCCTGTCGTTGTTGGCGAATGGTCGTTATGTCCGCAGTCGTTTTTAGCGAAGTTGACTGTATGCACATTGCACGGGGGAGGGGCATTGTACTGGGGAACATTACACTGGGGAGTATTGTGCAGTGGTCAGGGTGTCAACCCTCACCTTTCATGGAAACTCTGCCAGTATTGAATGGCCCAATTACTGCTCATATGCTTCCTTGTATATTGAGCAGTTGATGAGTGATGCACTGTTTTCCAATTTTCCATTTCCAATTTCCTGTTTTCTTCTGTTGCATGTTGGCTGTAGTCCCTAATCAACTCAGCTGGTGTGGAGGAGCTCAATGCTATTGTCGACCAGACACGTGTCGCCATAGCAAAGGATGAGTGGCACATGGCAACGTCACTCTTTGCAGAGATGGAATATGTTGTGGGACAGGTGAGCCTCTGATAGTGTGTGGGTGTGAGGGTGGGTGTGTCTGTCTTGGCCGTTTTATGCCGATATACTCCGTGTGGTGTAGACCAGGTGTGCATTGGTGGTCGATTCACATGGCTTCGCCAGTTGTATGGATTAGACGGTTATCTGGCGCAAGTCTTGATCTGTCTCATTCAGATCTTGTTCGCTATCGTTGCTATAAGAGAAAACCTGTGGGTGCACATCCAGTGCATTTGCAGATTTGCGTGCTTCTCTTGCGACGGGCGTAAACATGGTATGTGTATGTCTACATGTGTGTCAGTGTGTGCGTGTCAAGAAGACTTTGTACTGCCTGCTATGTGTTTGGGAATAGGTTTTAAATCTCCCTGCAATGTGTGTACACGCGCTTAGCATTTTTGGAGCTCTCTCTCTCTCTCTCCTCTCTCTCTCTCTCTCTCTCTCTCTCTCTCTCTCTCTTCTCCTCTCTCTCTCTCTCTCTCTCTCTCTCTCTCTCTCTCCTCTCTCTCTCTCTCTCTCTCTCTCTCTCTCTCTCTCTCTCTTTCTCTCTCACTCTCACTCCTCTCTCTCTCTCTCTCTCTCTCTCTCTCTCTCTCACACACACATTGCAAAGTGTTGGTGGATGGCTTCATAGCGTCCTGCTCCTTGCCATGTTGTATCTCAATGGCTGGTGTTGACGTGCCACTATTACCAGTGACTAAATCATCAGATGAAGAGTATACATTGATCTAAACTTGCTCTCCCTGGGTTTAACTCGACACTAAGCACAGGTGTCAAGTTGAAGCAGTGCTGAAAGTATACTAGTACCCACTACTGTGTGGACTGCAAACACGGCTTGTGCAATCATTGCCTGAATTGCCACTACTTTGGCTGAAGTTGTTGCCTTGTCGAGCTTTGCTGATTTGATTGCTTGTGATTAATAAGAGTATGCTACTTAGGCAGAGTATGCAGTGTCTGCAGTCTCTCAGTCAGTTGCGTTTTCGCACCATGTCTAGCGCTGCATGTCATGTCTCAGCGGTGTGAGCTTGCATGATCACCTCTGTTAGAATTGTCTGTTATCACCTAGCACCTCAGTTACCTAGGGCATGTCACACTGCTATGTAGGAAGTGCGATATTGCGCCAGTTTTGGCATATATAACATCGTTCATTCAATTGAATCGTCCATTATCTACTAGTACTACCTCCATTGATGATCTCTGTTCTCTGTTGGAGTAAATCAGCAGCCATTCAGAGAGTTTTCAATGTCAATATCTCAGAAGAATTGTCCTTGCTATGTCAGTGTGCAAGTGGAATGGGTTGGCGGAGAAGGAATGTGTAGTGGTGTTATGACTGATATTGACTTCAAGTACGTAATGGCCGGATTTGTGGCTAATTTCTCTTCTCATTGTCAGTTGATATGGAAGAATTGCTGTGCTAACCTGTTTTGCTATTTGTCTTGTGTTTACGTTCTGTGTCCTCGGCATGTTTTGTGGTATTCCTGCTGCTGCTGCTGCTTGTTGGTGCTTGTTATTGCTGCTTGTTGGTGCTGGTATTGTGGCTGGTATTGTTGCTGTGTGTTTGTAGCTTGCTGCTGATGTGGACTGGTACAATGTACTCAAACATACCGCTTTCGTCACCACCAACTTGAGCTCCCTTGCCCGT